TCATTCATTCATTCATTCACTCACTCACTCACTCACTCACTCACTCACTCACTCACTCACTCACTCACTCATTCATTCATTCATTCTATTTGTACCCCGCCTATCTGGTTGATACGACCACTCTAAGCTATTTGATGGCCCTTAGTTATGAAAAGTAGCATTTTCCAACTGCGGCAATGACTTGTGCCAATGCATTATCTAGGCAAAGGAAAGTTATGGAAACACTCCCAGCTGTACCTCCTCAGATGAGGTAATAGCTTTTCAAAGCAAAATGGCAGCCCTTACTTAAGGAAAGTGGTGGTGAGCCAAAGGCAGCCAATGGGTAAACATTGTAGCTATTTACCTGCTCTAACACCCCCCCTCCCAAATCCTCACCTGACAGGCAAACATTATGTAAAGATAACTTCAATGCACAGTATTGTCCAGGCTATGCATTGCCTTATTTAGTTATTCTGTTTATACTCCGCTTGTCCTTCAGAGACAGCTATACTCCTCCACATAGCTTTTTTTCCCTCACATAATTCTATGTATACAGTACAGCAGTGGGCCCCAACCTTGGGCCTCCAGATGTTCTTGGACTGCAACTCCCAGAAGCCTTCACCACCACCTCTGCTGGCCAGGATTTCTGGGAGTTGAAGTCCAGGAACATCTGGAAGCCCAAGGTTGGGGACCACTGCAGTACAGTACTTTCAGAAAGAGAGGTAGCGAGTGGTGCAAAATCACCCAGGAGCCTAGAGATTTGAATTTTAGCCTTCACACCTTAGTCAGATGCTATAATCACATTTTCCCCCCTCATATGTTAGAGCTAATTTCTAAAGGTTATAAGATGCCATAGGAAAGGAGATAATTTGATCGGGACTGCAGCAGTATTGGTAGAAGGGGAATGGTCATCGGTTCCCTTCACCTACACACCATATTCCATTTTCCTCGTCTTAATTGCCTCTGTAACTGTTTGCCCTCTGGTTAAAAGAATGCAGAGGTTTATACTTCTTGTGCACCAAAACCATAGCTACAGTCTGATCTCTCCCCTCCTTCGTGAGCTGTAAGGATTTTACTGCTCTATTAATGGGAGTATCTCCCAGGGTCACAACTGGTTTGGCCCAAAATCCCGTTGTTCCCAACGAACAAAGCTTGGTGAAACAGCAGTGAGAAACCTAAAATATCTTCTTAGGTGCAGTTAGAATGCTGTTGTGGGCAGGAGGCAAATTTTCATCCTCAGGATTAAAAGCAGAAAGGGACTTGAGCTTTTAAAGACAACCTTGGAAGAACAGGAGAGTTCTTAGATTGTGTGGGAACTGAGACTTTTGTAAGCATCTGTTTCATAGATCAGCCTTTCCAAGCCTGTAATCCTCAGAGACTACAAATCCCATCAACTCCACGGTTGGAGATTATAATCTCCAGATGTATTGTGACATGTTTGGTGGTATGGTCTGGCAGTTGGGGAAGGCTGGCTTAGATTTTCCAGTTAATACAGTATTTCCACAGAGAAGCACAATGGCTCTTGGCATTCAGGGTTCATGTATAGGATAAGCTTTTTCCTTTAACCAACCACTAAGCATTAAAACAACATCATAAACACCATAATTGGGCCCTAGGGCAAAAGCATACAAGATACAGTGGCATAGGGTTTTGAATCAGATAGCAAATGGGTTGTGTATAACAAAGAAGTGCCATTATTGATGGTTTGTGCCTTAATTAATGCTTTTATTAAAGAAAAACAGAGGTCAAATTACATAAAAAAAACTTCCCTGTTGTATTTTGCTGTCCTCTCCGGACAATAGCAGGAAATGAAATTGTTGTAATGTAAGGAAAGGGAGGTGGAGGGAAAAAGCTGCCCCCTCAAGAATGCATAACTTCACAATATTGCTACACACTGCTGCATCCTTCAACAAATACTTACAGCTCAGTCCCAGCATATATGTTGGAAGTAATAGCCAAAATGCACATTATGCTAAAAGCATAATCTAGCCATGCAACCATAGTGGTGGGAAGATTTTTTTGAAAGAAAACAAAACCTTAGAATTGTACTGTTTGTCTTTACTTTCTGTTGCTTTCCCCCTTCCCAGTGCATACCATCTGCATTGAATGCCACAGAGAAGCTCAGTTAAACTGTAAAAGAGACTGACAAGCTGGGGTTGACAAAAAATAGTCCTGTAGTTCACATGAATCAAATAGCTGCCCTCTGTTCTTTGCAGCTTGCCTTTCCAGTTGAAGCTGCAAAATCCCGTAAGAGATTTATTTGAAATATATCCACCTCTCTTCCATCTGTGGTTATTGGAAGAAGTGATACAAATATTCCCTTTCATCTGTTCAGACCTTAGGAAGAGAGCAGTTTGTGGAGGAACATCTTTATTTGACTAATTTAATTCTATGCAAATATATTATTTTATATTATGTTGATATTTATTTAGTAATAAAACATTTGACAGAATCAGTGATCAGGTGGCATCATCTTTTTCGGCTTGAATAATTTGCAGATGGGGTTTTTTTTGTTTTTTTTTGAAGAGTTGGTTAGGAATCTAGACATGTTTGTGTATACAAATTTGTTCAGAGTGCAGATTCTTTTTTTTAACCAACTCTGCACCTGACGGAATGAGCGCCCGTCGCTTGTCCCAGCTCCCGCCAACCTAGTTGTTCAAAAGCATGCAAAATGTGAGTAGATAAATAGGGACCACTTCAGTGGGAAGGAAACAGTGTTCCGTGTCTAAGTCGCACTGGCCATGTGACCACAGAAGATTGTCTTTGGGCAAATGCTGGCTCTATGCCTTGGAAACAGGGATAGCACTGGCCCTGGAGCTGGACACGACTGGACAAAAATTGTCAAGGGGAACCTTTATCTTTACCTTTTACTGCACCTTACAAATTAGTGACCCCTATAAAATTACCTACTCAGAAGCACATACTGTTTTTTGTTTGTTTTTTGAGAACAAACTGAACAAACGTTCTGTGCTTTTTGTGACTGTTTCAATCCCAGAATTCTAGAATGATTTGTACAGTATCATCATATTATAACTGAACTGGGATTGAAATGTAATGTTTCAGATCTGATCTCTGCCCATTTCACCATCCTGTCAAGACAAGCCCCGCACTAATAAACTTTCAAAAAAATTTTTAAAACTTGGTTGTTTAGACAGGCATTTCCATCAATGAAAACTCATTGAAAAGTTCAGCCACTGAATCAGTCCTACCAGCTTTTTAAATATCTAATGTTTAATCATTAATTATGTAATAGTTTAATTACTGTTTTTATTTTATGATGTTTATGTGTTGATTTCACATTAGGTATAGTGTAGTCTTATTGTCTGATTATGCTGTGAACTGCCCAGAGTAGCCTCGGCTAGCTAAGCAGTATACAAATTAAATAAATAACTACATAAATAAATTTATGTTATGCTGACACAAGCTAATAAATAATATTGTGTAGACAAGGGATGTACATCCTCAGTTGTTCTGTTCTTGTGAATGAGAATAAGAAACTGTAATTGTTTTTTCTTACCTGCAAGATGGCATTATATTTTCTGGTATTCTTGTTGAAAATTCCCAAATAATTTTATATTAAAAATATAAAATTGAAAATTAATTCAAAAGAAGCTCTATGCATTTCTGATTTATCTGACTTTCTCCCTTGGAAAAACCATAAAGAGTTTTACGGCACCTTAAAGACTAAAACATGCTTTATAGCATGGTCCTTCATAGACTAGAGCCTGCTTCTTTAGATACAAAAATGTAATGAAGAATTTCAGGCCTAAAGATACACACAGAGAGAGAGAAAGATGCGTTACACATGTTGGAGGTGGAGGCTGAATTGTAGACAGGTCAGAAAGAAATTAAATATATTGTGATGATTATATGATTAACAATAGCCATTCTCAAAAAGGTAGTATAGTAAGAACCAATTGCCTTGATTCGACCATCTCCTTTTGTACCTCATTTGTTGGCTACATTCAGTTCAGTGACACAGTACACCAGGAAGTTGCTATGTTCTCCCATTAATTTTTTTGGATACTGATATTTCCAATGTCAGACTTGTATCCATTTGTTCTGTTGCACACCAGTTGGTTGGTTTGCTCTGTCCAGAACATAGGAGAGTGCTGCTGAATGCTGTCATTTCTCTTCAGTTTCATTGCTCTTTGCACCAGCAGATGGCACAGTGAAGGAATTCTCATTGCAATTTCCCCTTCTTGACATGTGAATTTTTAGAAGCCAATGACTGCATAAAATGTTCTTACTTGAACAATATTGGGCTAGTTGTTTCAAAAAGACTGTGTTCTTTCAATATCCACAGCATATATGTAAGCAGTACAACAGGTTGTGGAAGTTAGGAATTGCCCAAGTAAAACAGGAGGCGCTCTCCCGCAGGAACTTTCACCTACCTGAAGTCAGTGTGAAATCCTCTGTCCAGAACTATCTTTAGGGTTTAGGACATCATTAGGCAATGGGAAATAAGTGCCTTGCTAAGAAATATTAATGGAAAAAGAGGGAGTAGTTTAGGTATCTGGCAGTGGAACCAGAAGTGGGGAGTTCAATTCCGCACTGTGCCATTGGATTCAATGATCAATAGGGCCCCTTCCAGCTCTGCAGTTCTAAGATTATTATTATTATTATTATCTGCACACATTTTAATACATAGCTCATATTGTCAGCCTATAATCCTTATAAAGAAAAGGTGCTTTAAAGCTGTGTGCCAGTGCACAGTGCACTGGCACATAGGAGGCACAACACCAATTGTAGGCAATGCTTCATGTTAGCAATATTGAAGTCCAGTTCGAGTTTCTGAAATACTTCTGTCATGATGCATCTGTAAACATGTGTACAAATGGATTTGGCTTTTCTTTCTACATATGTCAGCCTTGCCTTCCTTCCCAGCTATGC